ACGCCTCCTCATCCATCAATCCTCGTGAAGCCCCTCCCTTCTCCCTCCTTGGCATAGGCCGGGCGGGAAGTTGTTTAATCAGCTAATTTGCTCTTCTCTGGCCACCGTTAATGACCGTGCCACCTCTGGATTATCTTGTCGTCCCATCCTCTTAATCAGTGCTGATGAACTGCTCATCAAACTATTAGCCTCCTTTTGCCTTTTGCCATGCTTAGCAAAGGTTATAGGCCTGTAATTAAAACCAATCTGTTGGGTCATATTTCTCCCTTTAATCGGCGGGATAGTAGCCATTTCAGTAGCATTCCTACAGTGGCCATGGGGCCTCAGCTCACTGCAATTTCAGAAAACATAAGCAACTTTGACAACACATATGCAGCATTTAGGAAAAAAATGCAAATAAATAAAACATAAGCAGCATAAGATCTGTGCCATGAATATAGAAGCATTATAGAGAAACGTTGCACATTAACCACTCAGTTTGCTTCTGTTTTATTTATTTGCAGCAAGTTTTTCCCAAATGCACAGTACAGTTCCTCATGAACACACTTGAGTACGCAATAAACTGTATGCGTAAACATACTTTGCCAGTAAAGCAGATTCTGATTTATTTGCTTGTGTTTTCCTAAACTGCTGGGCCACCATGTATTTCTGAAGGAAATGTAAGCTTTACAACAGAAACAAGGGGATGATATAAACAAAAGTCATCATAAAATTTCACAATTAGTAGGGATGCACCGATCAGATATACGCCGGATCAGTATTAGGGCCAATACTGTTGTTATACAGATCAGTCGTCATCATGGTGCAACCAATCAATATTAAATGTTTCTTTTTCAGTTTTATAAAATTCAGTGTTTTCATTATCAGTTACTTTACTTTAGTTATATTAAGCTGTTGACTCCCTGCGATCCCTGGTCTTGTTACTTTACTTAAAACTGATACTAATGAGTTCCACACAGTGAGATATATACGATAGAGATATACGATTTTAAATCAGAGGAAAAAATTGATATTGTCAGATAAGTGCGTGTATTGGAATTGGTATCAGGAGATAAATAGTAGGACTGATGCTTCTCTAGATGTGAACTACTATAATGTAGCTGTCTTAGCTCACAGAGCCTGCGTGACGGCCACATGGAATTTATGAATTAATCTTGGTTAAGTCCCCTAGAACGTGATATGGCTCACTCTGTGGTTTTAGCTTGAGTTAGGAGGACCAAAATTAAGAACCACTACCTTAAGGAGCTGGCATAACCCAATCAAAATGAATGTGAATCTTTGAATATTTTTTATTTCTCAATTATCGTTAACTTCATTTAAAAATATTGCCAACATTAAAAATGTATCTACTGAAGTAACAAATTCTCCAATTCTTAATAAACTTTGGCTGAAAGTGCAACCTTTAATAGAAGGTAACTGATACATGCGGTATCCTTGCAGCACTGTGAAAAGCAGAAATTAAAGAATGTATCTCTGTGTTCTGGTTTACGTGATTCAGGTACAGCAGACCTGTTCACTTTTAAGCTGAAGATCTCCTCCTAGCTGCCTTTTTAAGCCACTATTTTGCTGCCTCAGCACAACCGTGCAGCACTTTCACTTTAGGTGAAAGAGTTGTGATGCCTTTAAAAGAATTCATAACATCCAACCTTTACTGACCTTATACGGCAAATAAAAACTATCGATCCTCCCTCCCCAACTCCCACTTTAAAAGACTTATTGTGGAGCTCCATTTCATCTAATCACTTGGCAAAAGAGTCCAGGGTCTAAATAAAGAAAGAATAAATAAAAAAGTCCCTGGGCCAACGTGTTGCTCTCACCTTTGCAGATGAAATTACCCGAAAAGCTGTTACAAATCAATATAATCAATGCAATCAGCTAACTGACACAGGCAATCTCCTGCCAGTAAGTAAAAATACCCCCGGCGGAGATCTTTCAATCTCTAGTGCCATAATTGCCCCCAAGGGCGACGTTAGGGTGTAGCATTTTGTACACTTAATTAAATTAGTGAGCTCTGTGGACAGGGTGGGTTGCCGATCTCACAGAGAACTGATTGGTCTGGCCCTGAGCCAGTAATTAAGGCAATACCTTTCCTGATTACGCCAATCCCCCTTAATGAACTCATTATGCATTTTAACCCAAACACTCCCATGAATTAATGAGCACAAAGAAAGCCCCTGGATGGAAAGGACGCCTCGATCGCGAACACAAGTCATAACTCATCCACTCAACGGGGTAGACGTAATGTCCATATTTCTCCCTCTTTCAGCTGGAGCCAAGACTAATTTGGACTTGAGTGACGGCAAAAGTTCTAGGTCTGTACACATAAAGCTTTAAAGAAATAGGATCCTCGTCTGGCAAGTAACAACACAAACTTTACTGGGCGACTTTACAAGGTCCCACTGAAATCATATCTGCATTCACTCTATTTAGAAAACTTTTGTATGGTCATTTTGCACAGATAAGACGACATGCTCAAACCCACATCGCCTAAACATATGTGTAAAATGATTTAAAGAGACCTAGGAACACTGCAGGGTGGGAGCAGCTCAGCACTGACCCATAATGCTTTGCTAATTAAATAATTCACTAATTGATTCATTGCCAAATCAATAAAGCCTGCAGATGGTTTATGGTGTGAGAGCTAAAGTGTGTTTGTGTTTAAGGACTGGGGTTGGGTTACAAATGAAACACACACAGTATCCAAACCGCCAGTGCATTCCCCTAGCTGAATGATAAGCAAAAGCACATGAAATTGGTGCTAAAATGTAGGCGAACATTGAGTTGACCTTGAGCTTGTGTTGTATGACATCATTTCAACCCCTCAAAGGCAGCTGATGGTGACTATAAAAAGGTGGGGGCTGGAGTGTGTGGTGTGTGTGTGGGCATCCTGAACCCAGCCCCAGGGGATACTTTGGTTTGTAGGTGGGCCTGAGGAAAGAAATCAGCTGGGATATCATTAATTCAAGTGTAATGAATCCTTAGAGTGTTTGTGTATAAAAGGACATATGCACTGTAAATATGTGGTATGTTATGCATACTTTATGACTAGTCATTCGTGTGTGTGTGCGTGTGTTTTTGTGTGTCTGGTAAGGTCGGAATTACCTTTGAAAGTAATTGGGACAGCAGTGAAGTGTGACATCTCACTGATCTGAGTGGACGTAAGGGTTGTAAATCCTGCTACATGAGCAGTTTGATATTTGTTTCCAAGCATGTGTGCATAAATAAACACACAAACACACACAGAGAATGGCCAACAGCGCTCGGTACTGTCAGATCAAGGTTGTGCTTGTCTGCCATGGGAGCCAAACTTAATGAAATAGTACAGTAATTTCTCATTAGAATTAATGAACCTATAACAGCACTCTCTGCTTTGTTATGATTTGGTGCTATACAAATAAAATTGAATTGTAAAGGTTGGTGGAAGAGGAATAATGGCCAAAATGATGTGGACAACAAGAAACATTGTATTGCGATACAAGCGCCTCCACTCTTCTGGGAAGTTTTTACAAAAGATTTGCTCCCATTCAGCCTCAGGAGCATTAGTTTACAATTTCATTTTATTTGTATAGCGCCAAATCATAACAAAACTTATCTCAGGACACTAATAGAGCAGGTATAGACCGTACTTGGCGACAGCGCCATGGAAAAACGTCCCTTTAAGAGGCAGAAACTTCGAGACGATTCAGTTGGCACGGTGGATTAAGAAAGGTAGAGAGCATTCTCCTGGCATTCACCAAACCAAGATTTATCCATCAGACTGCCAGACAGTAAAGTGTGATTAATCACCCAAAGACGACAACACGTTTCCACTGCTACAGGGTCCAATGGCAGTGTGTTGTACACCACTGTGCATGGTGATCTTAGAGTGCCGCTGCTCAGCCATGAAAACCCATGTCGTGAAGGTCCTGACAAATAGTGTTTCCCAAGGAAGTCTGGAACTAGTAGTAGTAGTGAGTTTTGACACAGAACCAATGATTTTTGACTTAACGTTTGCCAATGCAAATTTCATGGATGTTTATTTGATTTTATGTAGTTAGTCTGACTAAATACAAGTGGTGTGCAAATACCTTTGGTCATAGTGTGTATATCAACTGTATTTGAGCACTGATTCTCATACTTTTACTTTTTACTGTAGGATGCTGTTTTATTTCACAATTATAGAAAAACTGTATACGGTGAGCTACATATTTAATATTTATCTTATACTGTGCAGTGAATGAGATGAGACAAAATTTTAACAGAATTTTCCATAATTAAATAACACACCCTTACTCCTACATTTATATCTGTGAACTTTACCAGTACACTTAAGAAAGGTCCAGTGTGTAACATTTAGGAGGATCATTTAGCAGAAATTGAATATAATATTCATATATTTTCATTAGTGTACAATAACCTGAAAATAAGAATTCTTGTGATTTCGTTACCTTAGAATGAGTTGTTATGTACAGGGGGAGCAGGCCCTCCCAGGTTGGTCTGCCATGTTTCAATAGTAGCCCAGAACACAAAAAACAAACTCTAGATAGGGCCTTTAGAGGGCAAGTTTGGCCTACATGCTTTGAATGGGGATTATGTTGTAATCTATAACTATACCTCCAGATGCCACTAAATCCTACACACTAGTCCTTTACAAAAATCCTTAGTTTACCAATGGCATGGTTCCAGGATTAGTTCTCCATTAACAACCACACAAAAGTGAGTCATAATCATTTTACAAACTTAAAGCATTAAAAAGATAATATATTTAAACATTATGCCAATTGTCAATCCAACAATTAACTGTATAAGTTAACTATCAATATATTTTAGTTAGTTCTATTATAGGTCAATATCACTTCATTACTGAGTCACCAAAGCATTCATTTTAACTTAAATGCCCAAAGCGTTCTTTTATCTAACAACAGTTTTAAAGGTACCATATAGGTCTACTAAAGACTGTCAGACCCTTTGAGATGTGGGTGAACCCTGAGAGAACAAAAGTGTGAGACCACATTCACACATGAGAGGAAACCCAGAATTTAACACAAGCAAGGCGGAAATTGAAAATACTGTTTAAAAACACAATACAGAGAAAAGTGAATTAAAAAAACGTTAAACTGGAATGACAGTTATGACAATGCCTTTCAGGTACAGTAAATAAAAACATTTCTGTGTCATTCTTTAAACTGATTACAAGTTAATTTCTTATTGTTTAGGTATGTGACAGTAACACTTGACACTTCTCTTTTTTGTGTAATCAGATACTCTTTGCTGTGTTTTACAAAGAGACAGTATTACTGTACAGACAGAAACATGGCCAATCACCATGTGAATATGCGCATCAGGGGATTGTGATGGTGGAGCACCTCTGTGTGTTCAAATGCAGCATTGCAGGTGAGGAGCACTGCCTCAATATTGTGAGTAAAGGCGTGGAAAAAAGCTGACGGTGAAGTTTTATACTGATGATTACAGCTAACGTGTGTAACCACAAGATGTTAGGAATAAAGTTAGGAATAAAAAAAAGATACATATTCCTTCATGATTGGGAATGTAATCAGATATGTATTGAGTTAGGGTAACTTTCATTGACCAGAAAGTTTGGCAAAGCTTTTATGTGATCCCTTTTCTTATTAAAAATTAAAACTACAGTTTAAAGGAAAAAAACAAACTATTTCTTCTTTTTCTTTTTTTAAAGGAAAAGAAACAGCTAGCCTCTGTCAAAAGGAAAAACAATCTCCGTAACAGCACCTCTAAAACTCACGAATTAACATTTAATGTCTTGTGTGTTTAATCCATAAAAAAACTAATCTGTAAAACAATAACTACACATAAAGAACCACCGCTTGTCTTTTGTACATTTTGGTTTTCGTACAGATTAAACAAACACAATATGTGCTTGATTTTGTTACCCTCAGACAGAACCAGGCTAGTTGTTTCCCCCTCTTTCCCGTCTTAATGCTAAGCTAGGATAAAAGGCTACTGGCTCAAGCTTCACGCAGAATGACAACTGAATGAGAGTGATAGTCATCTTCTCATGTAACTCACTAAGAAAGCGAATAAGTGCATTTTTAAAAAATGTCAAACTATTCCAGAATACAAGCCAAAGCAACTTCATTATCAGAAAATGAAAAGGCCTTTCAAGCTCATTATTAGAGAAAGGATTTGACAACCATTATATTGCAGGGTCAAACTACATTTAAGGCCATTCAATATCTTCAGATAATTTGTCTACATAGAACTAAAAGGCTCCACTGTTACACACAGGCTACATAGGATCATTCAAACTAAAAGCTGATACTGTTGCCAAGCCCCCGAAGCTGAGTCAAAGTCTGTACCTAAGCTTTTACACTGAAATCAATAAATAAAAGAAATATTTTCAAGCTCAAATTAAGAGATGTTCCTTTTTGTGTGCAAAGGTGTCCCACATCCAGTGCACCATGCAAGATTAGACCATGTTGGTTTGGGTGTTGGGGCTGCGACTCTGCAGGTCCTGTACCTGGTCAAGAACCCAGTTGATGTTTGGTCTCTCCTGGGGATTTGACACCATTATGGAGCTCAGCAGCATCTGTAGGCCCTGTGAGTAACTGGGCACAAGACAAACAGACAGCAAATTAGCACAACTTAAGTTTGATCCATATTCAGCTGGTTTCTTTTGACTGTGACTCGCACACCAATCAGCTTGTTGTGAAAACTTTGTGGTTTTGTATTATGTGCATCGGTCATAAATACACAAACCGTTACAGCCCTAGATGATAAATCAGATTCCTATTATTAAGTAAATACAAAGAAAATTCCAGTGGAATGAAATCTTGGCCGCAATGGCATTAAATAATTAGAGGTTTTTATTTATTACAGGTTAATGGAGTTTGTTCGGTTGCTGGTAGTATGCAATATGTCCTTAAAATCAGTCACACCTACTTACTTTGGAACTGTGACATTGTTTTATTTTCCTAAATTTCTCAATTGGAAAATAAATAAATAAATAAATAAATAAAAAATGGAGGGTTTTTTTCCCACCACTATCCAGGACAGAAACCGAAACGGATACATCAGCGGTAAACTTTCTTCAGATTATACTGTAGCACAGTGTCATAGTCTGAAGACTGACCTGCAAGACTGTGGGATGGACACTGGATTCTGGACAGCAAGGGCAACACTGTCCCCCTTCTGAAACACCATGTCATATGGCCCCTCCAACATCATCATGCAGTAAAGCACACAGCCAAGCGACTGGAGGAGTATGGGAAGACATAAAAAGACGAGATAAAGAAGTAGTTAAGCACTTGGTTTCAGAGACTTGGTGACTATAGAAAACAACATGCACAATATAAACAAGCCTAAATGGATAAAAAAAATACAAGGCTTTACCCAGATATCAGTGCGCTCATCTATAATGCAGTGGCTCTCTACATTGAAGAGTTCAGGAGCCCTGTAGGAAATGGTGCACCGCTGGGCTGCCCAGTCCTGTATGGTCATGGCTTCTCTGGTTCCTCTAACCTGAAATATTAAAATTATAACAGAGGATAATTTAGTTAACGTTTAGAAGATAAGCCTAGAGACAGCTGTGTGAAATGTTACAGAAATACTTATTTTATACCAACACGTGACAAACTCTTTCTGTTGCAATTATGACAAAATAAAACACCAGAATGACAAATGTCCAATATAGATGTTTCAAGGGGCATAATGAGTGTTGGAAGCTCCAAAATCACAAATGTGATAAAAATAAACTTTCTGCAGTACAATGTAAAAGATCCTGAATATGGGACAAGATAAAAAGTGAACCAGGGTAACAAACATGGTCCGAAGCATTGAATAAACGTGACACACTTCCTCCAGCCAACAAAAACACAAATTCAATGACAATGAACTTTGCTTTGAGATAATTCCAAGTAACATCACATCAGTAAAACATGTAGAAGGTTATAAGCTATATTCTGAAAAACGATACATGAAATCCAGTAGCTGTTCAATTTAAGGATGTGAAGCATGATATTTTGAATGTGTGGGTTACTGGCATTAAAAATGTTTTTCTGCCATCTAGAGGCAGAAATCTGAACCTTTTTTTTCTAAAATGATGTCAAGTATATTGAGTATTTACTCTTATAACAGTATCTACACATGGACCTGATGATTGCCACTAAATGTTATAGTTATATGTGCATATTGTTGTAGTAGTTGGAGGTTGGATATCACCCAATGCTGCAGACTAGTCTTCATTTTAAGACCCCTTTCTTGTAGATTAAATAGATTAAGTCATAAAAATACATGTGAGTGAACATATCTTAAATTTCATACTAAAAATCACTCTGTGATTATTGTGCGAAGTTACTTTTTAATAATAAAAAGACAAAATAAGGTGGCGGCAATGCACACTGTGGGGATATGACAGAACTCAGGCTTCAATTAAACGCATTTGGGCTTTGGTGTTTGACCAACACCTTTATGCTTTTAAAGTGATCAGTAAAATTGTACACACTCTTAATAGACACTGCACCCTTACCTCAATTCTGGCACGGTTCATAGAGCCCAGGTCCATCAGAACCGGCCTGTCATCCTCATCCAGAAGCACATTTGTGGGCTTCAGGTCTCTGTAAAATGATAGCAGACACATAGCCTGTGTTCAGATCTCTTCATTTTAATTGTGTTAATATAAAAAAGAAATACACAAAAGTTGCCATTTGCAAAAGTTTGGTTAAGTAACGATAACTTAAATGCTAAAAGTCTGGCAAATAGTATCTCACTGTTTGTGCTCACATAACAATTACAACTATTTTCAATTTCTATGTTAAGTTAAATGTTGTTGACAATATACAATAAACTGTTTAAAAGTTGAATTATCAACCACATAATGAAAAATACCTTTATTGTGATATAATCTAAAATACTGTATAATCTGTATAAACTAGGAGTCCCAAAAATCTGCACACACATTCCACATTATTTAAAAAATATATATATTTTAAAGGTTGAAAAAACACAACTAACATTTTAAAGATCTTTCGAGGGTCATGAGAAATTAAGTCAAGCAGTAACTTTTACTTTGACAACGTACAGAAGAGAATGCTTTTGAATCCTGAGATATTAGTTTCTGCTTTTCGATCACAATACAGGGTGTGCACTGTGACCAAAAAGGACTCAAGTAGTCCAGAAAGACACTGGTGTCACACCCAAAGTCAGCGACAGACAGTCTTTACTCTGGTCCTATGCATGTAAATATTTGTTGGATGTGTGTGCATGTGGAGAGAGGTTACCTGTGTGCATAGCCTTTGTCATGAATGGCCTTGAGTCCAGAGCAGATGCCACGCAAGATTTGCAATATCAGTTTTTCAGGCATCGAGCTCCCCTTGTCTCTTAGCTTCTCCAGAACAGACCACAGACTGCCTTTCTGTTCACACAAACACACCAATATATCAGAACCAGACCGTCTCCCTACAGGTTATTCTGGTCATATGAACTGCTGCATCAACTTACTCTAATATAAGGCAGAAGTAACCAGGCTTCAGTCTTGCCTCCACGATCAACAAAGGCGTGTGCAACCAGGCTCAAGACGTTGGGGTGGTTGAACAACTGATGCATCTCCATCTCTGTCTGAGCCTCCTGACGACCTTCACGGTCATGGCACAGGACCCTCTTTAGGGCATAGAAGTGCCCATCCTTCACCCCTTCTACCAGATCAACATAACTGAACCCACTGAGGAGAGGAGACAGAGTGATTAGAGTTCGGGAGGTGTTTATTGGTCCCAATTTGAATGGCGACGTTCCATATTTTTGGTAAACCAATCACATAAAAACACCAATATCAACATCTCTTAATACTGTTTGATTTCCAGAGCCTGTCTGGAGAGCCATTTGTTCTTACAAACAAAATAAAAAAAGCCTAAATAATGTCATCAAACAGCTGGGCACAACATTTTTCAGAAATTAAGAGGAATAATCAATGCATTTTCGGTGTCTTGCTTACAGCAGCATGATGGTTTATATACGATTGACTCAAAATAACCTACAGGGACCAATGCAACAGTGAGGCTCAGTCATAAAAGTTTTTAAAAGTGTTAAGACAACAATGAAGGTCAAAGCAACGCACTGTCAAGCTTAAGCTTTGGCTCAACAGATAACACTTGTAAGATCAATTCATTATTACTGTTGACAAACATAAAAATGTCACCACACTTCACCTTAATGTGAAGTTAAATTAAGTTTAAAACAACGTCAACACGTCCCCTTACCCTTCGTCTAGCTTCTGTACAAAGTAGTATTTTTTATTATCAATGGTGATGGAGCCACGGGAGCATATGCACAGCGCCTGCCCCATCCTGACTGGTGCATTGTTTAACACCAAGCTTTTAAGGGCCTAGGAGAAACCGGAAAAACACAAAGTTATGCGAGAAAGACAAACAGAGAAACACAAGCTGAGATACAAAGTTACTTACGAGCTAAAAAACAAAACAAAAAAACAATTCACTCTTGAACGCAAACTGCCAACTAAGCTATGGGTCCATTGTAGAGAAAATAAAAAGTTATGATAACAAACAAACAAACAAGACAGCAAACACATCACCAAGCTAACGTTGTAGCTAACGTAAGCGTAGCTACAGCAACCAAACTGCGACATTAACGTAAAGTTTTAACGTGTAGTTTTAATTCACGACCTGACGTTAACACTACGGGCAGCTGAACATGACATACTGAAGCTATACATCGGTGGCGTTACGTCTTTATTCTTACCAGCTAGCTTTTTGTTTACCAAATTAGCTTACTGCCATAGTTCCTCATCCTCCTCCTCCTCTTCCTCCGTCTTCTTCGTGTGCTTTTATTGTCCTTCCTCTTCTTCTTACGGCAGTTGGCGGTGATGCAACACCGCCACCTTCAGATGACGTCTTTCCCCGTCCAATAATCCTTAAAAATAAATAAATAACAATTTCCACCCTTGGCCACTTTCTCCATATCCCACTATTTTGAACATTTTACATAATTTCCATAAAACAAAAATATCAAAAACTATGTATATAATACATTTCCATAATAAAATGTGTATTACTTTAATGGAGTTCTGCTAAATGACCTGTGGGGGCAGCCATACGCCTTTGATGCGTCTAATCTGCCGCAATTTTCAACACAAGAAGAAGAGCTGGCAAGTTTGAGTGGAGAAATGATGGCGGATTACGAGCATTACAGAAAGGGTAGCACCAACGACGGAGGTGATATTTGTGCTGGTTTAAAGTCTGAAATATGGTTGAAAAATGATTTTGCGTTAGATTAACTTGCTGTCTATCCATTAAAACTGGCCCCAACTAATGTTAGACAGAGGAAACTTCACTTAGCTAACTACGACTCGTTTGCTAGCTAATGCTAATACGAAGTAACTTAACCGATGACATTAAATGAACGTTTCCTTTTTACGGTAGTAATGGAAATGGGGCTGGTTGCAAATAACTACTAGGCTAAAGTTACTGCTAACGTTACCCTGGTGTTAAAGCAAAGATTTATCTCTTGTTGGCTTGTTAACCTGGTGTTAGCCTTGCTAGTGTGCAAGTAGCTAGCCTAAGCTATTTGGCGCAGGTTGATATCAAATGAATGAGTAACAACAGTGTTGTTATCTGCCCTCAGACATTTGGTACAGTACTCATAAGTTAAGTTAAACCCTGACATTGTAGTAGTTGGTTTCAGCATCACGCAGTCCCCAGGTGGACTTTTAATACTGTAAGTTAAATGGTAAGGGATGGATCTGAGTTATCTATACTGTACTATAACGTTAGCCACACAGGCAAAGGTAATAGCTTTTATTTTTCTCAAGTTCCCAGGAAACTGTTGTTCACCTTGGTGAGTTGTCTTGCCTCAAGCAGGGCCGCAGGAGGAGGAAGACAGAGTGAAAACTAAGCCTGTCTCTTGTAGCACTGTGGGAGGAGAAGGGACAGCAGTCAAACGCACATCCCAGCATCTCACAGCTGAAGATGAGGAAGAGTCCTCGACTGACCCACCAGCACCCTGCAAAGTCTCCAAGATAGGCTTTAGCATGAGCAGTCCGATGGGGAAGAAGTCAAACCCCATATCTATTAAACTTGGAGCAACAGTGAGTGTGTAGCAGTGGATGTTATCTGCTTGCAGACATAATGTAAATAAACCATTATGTGATCTAGTATTCTAGTGTACATCTTGAAAGTTAGGGCACAGATATGGTGCTACTTGTGTAACTTATTTAATTCTTATAAACACTGCTCAGAGAGGCCTTAAAAAGGACACAGGCTAAAATCCTCAACACTTTTAAACACATACTTTTTGACGTTACTCTCATTGTGAGTGGTGTTTTTTATTATCATAAAAAAACGAAAAAATCGAATTATTCTTGAGTTGATTGATAGAACTAATCCATTAATCATTTAAGTAATTTCTGTGTCAGTGTTTGCTGGTTAAACTTATCTAATGTGAGGATTTGCAGCTTTTTTGTATTTTATGAAGAGATTGAAAATGTGTGATGACCTGTTCTAGAAACCCAAAGAGCCTGTACCTTCAGTTCCTCCAAAAAAGCTTGGACTGGCATCTGTTTTTAACGAAGATGATGATGTAAGTGCTCACACACACACTAATGTCATGGTTGTACAAATCCATAAATCACAGATATGTAAAGGCTAAACCTTAACTTTCTCTTGCCATGCAGAGTGAACCTGAGGAGATGCCCCCAGAAGCAAAGATGAGAATGAAGAACATTGGCAGGTACACACATATACATTATGTACTGTAATTGTTACCTAATCATCTAACATGTTTCTATTTGAGTTTTATGTGACAATTTTTCTATCTTTTCAGGGAGACACCAACATCTGCGGGACCCAATTCCTTCAACAAGGGCAAGCAGGGCTTTTCTGATCATCAAAAACTTTGGGAGAGGAAGATAAAGGCCCAAGCAGACAAACTGTAAATTACTACCACAGTTTTTGTCACTAATGAATAATTTGTATAGTTTAAAGAATGTTGGATATCTGCGAAGGCTCAAATTATTCTTTAGTGTCCCCTTGTGTTTGACAACTGCTCAACTTTGTGGACATGACATTAAGAATGCTTTAAGCCTTCGATGATACTCTACGACTGAACTCATGTTTACGTTTCTAACCACTACCGGCTGATGCTAACTGAGAGGAGAGGTACCAGGGTGTCAAGCCTCTGTGATGAGAGGTGAAGAGTGGGAAGATGGGACAAATAAATTAGCCAGAATATTGTTCCAACTGTGTAAAATTTGCTACAGTTACTTTCTGCTGGCTAATGAGAAAATCTTAGAGCCCTCATGCCCCCTATGTGACATGCTTGTTCCTATCTGAAGCTGGTTAGGTGTGGTCCTGAGCAAGCTTGGTGTTGTTTGTCTATTACTTGTATAAAATTGTACATAGAAACGTGATAATGTTTTATTTGTAAATCCACAAATTGGAGCGTGTGTTTGAGTTACGTTAACGTGCGTGTGGGTGGGGGGAGATAGACTAGACGTACAGATTGTTTTTTTTTCCCTTTATTTTCTCAACATCAATGTACAACCCTTTGTTTCACCGGCTGTGCCACCTCATAGGCAATCTAGCTCGTTTTTTCTGTTTTGTTCTATGATTGTTTGAGCTTTGTGCCAGTGCTTTCATTCAATTTCAGTCTGCTTCAATGAATCTGGCAAAATTTGTGATTATTTTTATGTACACAATGGAAGGACTCAGCCTTGACATGGATACCAGGATGCTGGTAACTGTCATACATTATTTCTGGATGCTTAAAATATAAGTTAGTGATTATTAGGCATATTTATAAGCTCTTTTAATTGCCACTTTTGCATCATAAAAACGACGCCTCAGAAATACAGCCCCCATCCTTTTGGTTCAGATAAATGTGGTACCTCAGTGGCTTTTTTTATTATTTTTTTTGGAAGATCTTGATCAAAAATAGAAACTTTGAATTCCTCTGTGGGTTACCAAACTCTTGTGAAGGGACATCCCCCAAATTAATGACATTGCTATCCACTGCTACGACCTGATTTATCAGACAGGACTCTCTTGCATACATATTTAAAAGCCAGTCAATAAAAAAAAGAAATTGGATCATACGTGTCAAATGTTCATTACTGACATGTCTGCTGTAACAGAATACACAATAAGCCTTACAGCTGTTCAACTTAAACTGATGTACAAACAGCCATAAAGCTAATTGTTTAAGTTTAATTGTTAATTGTGTCCATCTTCTATCAGTGTACTACTACAGATCCTTTATCTGTTGTATATATTTTTAATGTTTTTATGGAGTGGATAGGTAATTAATTATTCAACTGTTCAACTGAAATAGTTGGTACAGATGGAAATTAAAGTTGGCGTACACACCACCACTGGATCCTGAGCATGATAGAAAGGGTGACACATTTTTTCCAACAGTTGAGAACGATGCATTATGAATTGGCTTCCCTACCATCATAGAAATTCCTATGACATATTTGTTCATTCAAGACTCACACTTGCCTGCAAACGATTTCAACAGTGAAGAAGTAAGTAATACAGTAATACAAGCTGCTTTGTAAAATAAATATGTTCATGTTAGGGAACAAGTGTTTCTCAAATAGGGGTACATGTACATGCCATGAATGTAGTGATTCTTAACAGTTGAACTGAAGCAGAAGTTCTTTTCTTGACAGCACTGGTTACTGATACAGAGGCTGAACGTTTTGTAGCGCAGGCCACAAAATTGTATTAAACATCTGTTGCTAGTACTAAAAACAACCACAAGTAGTGTAGTTCATCACTTAAATACACATGTGACTGACAAATAAGGTTGCATGCAGGGTAGGAATAATCCAAACTGTAAGAAATGTTTTCAGTAAACAAACTTTATTTTCCCACAATGGTAAATTGCAGGAACATAAATAATAAGGAATACATTCGTAATACAATTATAATTGATTTATATCGTATTGTTTCTAGAGCAAAAATAGTTTACATCAGCAAAGTCACTACTGCCTCAGCCAGTAAAGTTTACAAGAATTTGCCAGATTTGTGGAACCTACAGACCGCTTATGCTTTAACTTGTTCCTAACAATTTACTATTAGCTTAACAAGAGCTCTGTGGTTGTGTAATACAACAACTGCAGACTTTATTTTTACACGGTCAGGGTTGTAATGGTAGGGACAACCCTGGCAATGCGCCTATCGATTCAGCTTGCACACAAGTCCTCAGATCCTCACCTCACACAAACTCAGAGAACTCAGTCACAGATGTTTTGGTAAGGCAGTCTAATGGTCCTGCATGACTGACACCAGCCACTCTGTGATTGGGCATGGCTTTCCGCAGAGACCTCCAGAAGTTGCTGGAGACTCCTGCCGTTTTTCCTGAGGTCCAATCCATACTGGGTAACACCTTCAAGGCCCTCTGGACCAGTGTGGGCAAAGGGGGGTCCGGCTGGATGAGGGATGAGGCTCTACTGGTCCATATTAGCAGGAGTTTGAGGGAAGAGTTTTGCAGTAAAGCCTAAGAAAGATAAGGACCAAGTAGCAAATCATTAATGAGCTGTGCTTTTGTGTGTGAATCATAAAAAACTGTGGTTTAAGAATTTGTCATCAAAGACAAAGAGAAGTTAGAAGTTGAATGAATCAGATCACACCAGTGTTTCTGCTTGTGGTTTATGCAACATCCATTTCTAGATTTTCCTCCCATCCACACACCTTCTTAGTTTCAGTTTACATCAGCAATTTTCTTTCAAATGAAATCAATGTGGTTATTTAAGAATTGAATTCAGGATTTGGTTGCTGGGAAGTGAAACCCAGAAGACAATAGTTACTTGAAAAGGTAAATGGTTACCGTTTACTAAAAATAAATGGTGACTGGCTGGAAAGTAGAAGAATGATCAGAAATACACTTTTAATTGGCTGGACATGTAAATCCTCTACCATTGTTGCCAGTGAAGTTAAGTAACTGCAGGCAGGGTATCTGCAGATGAAAAGTCTTTATAAAACATTCAGTAAAAAAAAAAAAGAAAACAAAGACTTAGATTATATTAAAAAGTCTTAAATGTAATTTTCAAGGGTCTTGAATATGGGTGTTGCAATATACTGGTATTAACCATAATTTAAACAATGGAATATTGAATAATGTTGATAATACACATAGGACAACATCATGTAAATAATCCAACTCTTCTTTTGTGTTTCCCACTCTGAGTAACTGTTCTTTTTGTATGCTTTTATATGGTTACAAAAGCTCTGCCCACCTCCCGATGCTTGTATTTTGATATCATGACATCCCTAGCCTTGAATGTCTCTACCCTGCAAAGGGCTAGGAAGCTTGTTGTCTCCTAATGGGCAAGTGTCAGTTTTAGCAAGAACTAATCATTCTGAATTAGTTAATCTGTCCATCTATTTTATGCCACTTACCTGGGACCTGGTCGCATTAAAGTAATTTATTCTATCGTTAGGAATTATTCAGTGTGGCTGCACACTGTTTAATCTTCTCCATACTTCTTTAATGATTTTTCTTCCTCCGTATGTTTTTTCTGCATGTATCTAGTCACACAAATTATGTATGTAAACATTCAGCAAAGCTTTGGGATGCTGACGGTCACATCATTTTAACAATATGACTCCTCCAGATCTTCTCTATTTCTGGATACGTACCAAGCATTCAGGCATGCTGAAAATTTCTTTAGAAATGTTCTAGTTATTATACACTGCTACAAAGTACTGACAAATACGACTGTGGTATTGCACTCTGTGCTTTTAAAAAGTCTTAAATTTAACTTGGTGAAGATTGCGGCAACCCTGAGCAGGTTGGTCTTCTAAATTGTGTTGCTGTTTCTTTTTTCAACATCCAGTACAACAACTCTAATTGCAAAGTAACAGCCACCACGGGACTGGACTGCTTGTGCTGTGTTCACATCATATGGGATGTCTGGGAGAGATGGGAGGATTAAAATACTGTGCACTAACAATATAAAACAATATCCATTAAATGTGGACTTATTTTTTAGTTTTTCTGACAGTTCCATATTATGAAGCACCAAGTCAGATGTATCAGAGCTTTCAGAAAATTTTTTACAAGAAAGTCGATATCACAGTAACTCCAATATGCCTTGATGCAGCATTTGTCTTCTACTTTCAATGAAATGTAGGCCTACCTGAACTCCTGATTCCAGTACAAACACAGCATTATTGTTGGAGAGGTAGTCAGCTGACAGGAGACAGATAAGCATTTGGCTTCTCTGTATTGCAAGGACCACATCATTTGTATATGCTGTAATACAAAATGGAAACCGTGAGGAACATTTGCGGCCAGCAAACAAACATACATACAAACACAGTTGATCTCCTCACCTCCTCCAGGAAGTACATCCCTCTCTAGCAAACAGAGGCGATACCCCCATTGGTCCTCTAACACATGGGGTAGCTGCACTTCTGGTCTCTGGGTGGCTTTACCCTCCTCAGAGTTCAGCAGGTCCATACTAGATGAACATGCTGCTTGTGAAAGTAATTTTTCATTTACTTTACCAGTACATGAAAATGAAATCCAAATAAGGATATCAAACACTGAACATGTTGGCCTACCTTCCTTTGGGGACATGGTGAAAACTCCCTCTACCTCTGCTGATGGAGGGCTCCCCACGTATGACAAAAACACATCAAACTCTTTCTCATCTGGATGGTGGTGGTGGATGTGAAGACAATTGTGACACCAGGACATCAGAAATGTAAATCTGGGTTCTTGAATGCAGCTCTTCAAGTATGTGCACTGGACTATTTCAAGGTATTGTCATGTATGTCAGTTAGCTTAATAATGTGATGCTTTGTAGCATTAAATACAAAATACATCAGCTACATCCTGCAAAGAGAAGCAGCTGTTGCAGTCAAGATGCTTTGGGGTTTCTACTGTATATTGTGTGTGTGTGTGTGTGTGTGTGTGTGTGTGTGTCTGCATTCTGACCTCCATTGTGCTTTCCATGTTGAAAGTGGGATCTGTAGATGAGCTGTACTTCCAGCCATCTAATATGCAAAATGATTCCCAGCCCAGCTACCAGCAGCAAAGACACAATGGGCCCACAAAGCGATGGCAAAATGACTGAAATCCAGTCCAAAATACACTCATTAGATTGTATTGTGTCTTTAAAGCAGAAATAATTGACTCTGGAGTGGCCAAAAACTACAAAACACACAAGTTCATATGGCGAAACTGTTAACAAACATCTTTATTTAGAGTCATGTCCACCCTAGTATTCACTGTCCTTTTTTCTCTGTTTTGGCCTCCACCTCCACCACTTTCTTCACTAGCAAGTGACTAACTTTGCTTATCCTGATGACAATGCATATTGTGCCTGCGTAAGCGAATACATGTGCACGTGCTGATGTGGTACACTTAAAGGTCCAGTGTGTAACATTTAAGAGGATCTATCAGCAGAAACATGAAATACCTGAAAATATGACTAGAATACGTCAGTATGAGCTATTTTTACCTACAGATGGAGGGCATCCTCTTAGAGAGTCTGCCATGTTGAGCCACCGTGTTTCTACAATAGCCCAGAATGGACAAACCAAACACTGGCTCTAGGGAGGGCCTTTCACGTTTTTTGCAAGTTTTGCAGCCACCATAGTTTCTCCTACATGCTTAAAAGACTTCAATTCGAATACAATTTGATCAATTGTAAATATTAAAATATTGATTAGTGCAGCTTTAAATGTTGCCTGCACAAAAAACAAACCTAATGTTTCAAACTGTTATCAGTAAGTGAAGATAACTGCGTGAAAATGGATGTTTTGAAAATAGCTTTAGATATAAGTTGCCTTACAGATAGTGTCACGATTGAGATAACGGGATTGGTTACATTATCTTTGACCTCAATGGGGGGAGTTTTTTCAGCTTGAGCAATAATGTGAAACTGTGTCAAACTACACTCACTTTCCGACTGCAGCAGTATACATAGGGGTTCTGGCAAGTTCATAGCTTTGAACACTTAGTATTGCCTACACACTGTCACTTAGTCACACACCTTAGTCACTGGGTCAGAGCAGCTTGCCTCCATTGACAGCATTCACCCAGCTCAAAAGCTGGTGGGACCTTCCTCTAGATTTTACTAGATTTTGTTATATATTATACTGTATTCTCATTTAATGTTGATAGTTCATATAGAATTATTAGAATTTTAATGTAACAACTTTTTGACAAAATATAGTATGAATAAAACAACATGACGGTGACAATAAAATAATAGTACCTTTCATTTTCCTCTTGAGCTGGATAGTGACATTTGTTTTCCCGACACTATTACTGGCGATGCAAGTATATCTGTGGTTCAAGTGTTGTGGAGTCACCACAACTCTCCCGGTGACCTTAAATTCTGCACGTGTCAGATTCTCCATTCTGAATAAGCAAAATAATTTCAGTTACAGTTACTTTTTGTCGAAAGCAAATACTGAATTAGTGACTCACCGTTGCTCCTTCATGTGTAGTCGAGTCATATTCTCCATGTTGCCACCATAATGCACGTACCACTGCACCACTGCCACAACCTTTAACTCAAAAGGAAAATGTACGACACATTCCAGAGTGTGACTCTGACCTAGAACAAGTACAAAAACATGGCCATTATAATCTCACTTAATGTCCAAATAAAAGTGGGAAAAACATGTGATGCCTTACTTATGTAATTATAAACTCCGGCAATTAAAAGTCAATAATTTGAACCAGTCAACATTACAAGATATGTTAGATAGTTTTGAAAGCTGCCAGAGCCAAATCAGTTCTAAGTGAATACATACAACGACTGTTGTCACTTGTCATCAAGTGATTTTCAACAAAACCAGAGCTTGTAAAGACTGGGATCTATACAACAATTTGACCTTTGAGTGCCAATCGCTTTGTTCCATTCACACAGCTGATGTGGCTCTGAAAAAGCAGTTCAAAATCAGATAGCTGTGGGATTATATCATAGTACATCTGGACACACTTACCAAGCTCCACTTCCTCTCTTGTGTTATCTGTAGGATAGTGAATCTTGGGAGTGGAGGGTTTGACATAAGCTATTTGGGCATGGGAAATAAAATCACACAATTCTGTATTATAATTTTACCCACATGCAAGTCAAAAAAACATTCAAACAGCTTCATGCAATTGGCAACTTGTGTATGGAACATTTAAAATACCTAAATTAAAGGTCCAGTGTGTAACATTTATGATTATCTATTGGCAGAAATGGAGTATAATATGCATAACTATGTTTTCATTAGTGTATAATCACCTGAAGAGCTCAGATCATGTTTTTCATTGCGCAACTGTTATCATCTGTCACATTAGTTCTTTTTTCCATCGGCATCCTGTAAAGACCTACTCTGACTCTGATTAATGGATAAGTCTGAAACACAGCCGCTAACTGCTTAACAGACTTGATGGTGAACAAGGGGGTTAATTGGCAGTGAAACCGTAAAAACTACGGGGAAATGTTGCTTTTTCATGGTTAAAAAATCCAAACATCCATATCCTCACAGCCCTACAGGTGATTCCTTCTCAGTTTGATCCATGACACTGTTGTGACTTTTCCAATGGTTCACCTGATTTTCAGGATTACCCTTTGTCCAGAAAAGCAGCAATTTTCTTTTTTAGGAGTGGCTACCAGTAGCTTTGTTGAGGGAGACGATAATCTAACAGTGTGTAAGGCCACTAAAGAAGAACAACTAGTAGAAAACAGAATATTCTTAAGTTTTAAATAACAGGCCTACAGTTATCCTTCTGTACTTGTAGTTATCTCCATAGTTCTTTCAAACATACCATCATGCAAATGACTGCAGGAAGGAAGCCCTGTGGTTTTTGGGTTAACAGCCAGAATATCTTCTATACTGAATGTGAAAACAACAAAAAATCCAACTCCTTTAGGTACACGATGTAGTAAGTTTCTCTGCAAAACTTTCTTTTTGAGGCACTCACAGACCTGACTAAATAAATTTGTTTCAACTTAGAATCTGACCTTATTGGTTATGTGAACATGAGCTTGCGAACATTGAATAATTAACAATTTCTAATAAGTGAACAAAATGTCCACAGTGATCCGTCTAATAGTTGTGGAGACATTTCACTCAGAAATCCAGAGTGCATTCAAAGTCATTCAAATATGCCATGGCATTTATAACCACAAAATTTTGTTTTGAGTTGTTGAGATATTTCAGTCAGTGGGCCATCGACCGACCGGCTAACCGTTGGTGGAGAAAACACCACAAACTGCTTTCCATTATTTTTATATTGGAGTACACAGTACATTTTGTGTAATCAAATGCTTCTTCTCCAAATACACACACACACACACACACACACACACACACACACACACACACACACACACACACACACACACACACACACAGCACTTACGTATGGCTGTGACGTGAACAGCCCTCCTGAAGATCCATTTGACTCCTTGCTCGATTATTTTTCTATCACAGAAATATTGACCAGTATCCTTTTCCTTGACTTGTTCGAGATGTAACTGTCCATTCTTTTCCCAGGACTCTCTAGGCTGCTCGGACACATATTTGTTATCCTGTAGGAAAGTACCCTTGTTGGAGTTTTTGTTGTAACTTATATGTTTCTGTTGTGAAATGGATAAGCCATGTGTGTACTTCACCTTGTACCAGATAACATCCGTGTTGTCACTACAGTTGATACCTGGGCAGTCGACCACCCCTCCTCTAAACATGACCAGTATTACACTGCTCTCCTCAGATTGGCATCCCAGACTGTTTTTCTCCACAACCTGTAAATGGAGGGACAACTTGCTGCCACTGGACAGCAGAGACCTGGACACTTAATTTAAGTTCAGTCACATGCCGCCTACGCACATCCAAGACTTTGCCATTAAGTTTACCAAAAAGGTTTTTTAAAGTTGCTTCTAATTACTCAAAGAAATATTTTGGGGTTTGGTTGGTATTTGTGCAATAAGAATTATGTGAAAATGTGAAAATATGATGATATGATAATTGAATTTAAACCTAAAACGGTTACTGGTGTATTGCCAGTACCACCCAGTTGAGGCAGCCCATATAGCAGAGCCCATGTATATACAAATACAGGCCAAACACTTCACTAATGAGACCAAATTGGGACGTGTGCCATGATGTAGACAGTGACAGTTGGATAAAAATGGCACTGTTTATTATTTTCAGACTTACCAACCAGTGTGAACTTTATTTCAACTGCAGATATGAATCCGATGACTAATGATATTGAGTGAGCACACTGTAGCCGGTAGCTGTGAAACACACTAGAACATAATGCTTGCGGGCAATTCCACACTGTCAAAAACTTTCCAGTTTTCATCAACCGGTTCTTTTGGCATTGGCAAGCACAGTTTCTCTCCACAAAATTATATTTTTCAATATTATAACAATAGTATTGGTATGTCAGTTGTTTAATAAAGAAAGGCAACTGTACAGCTGCTGAGAATGTCTCGTCAGATACAATAAATAATAATAACCCCAAAATTATTTTCTATAGTCACTGATGCCATAACATCGAAGTTATACATGTAATTTAGAAATGTGGTCGATGTATAAATTCCAGAGTACAGTTTTTTTGAGTAATTCTGTTAGCAGCGTTGACTAGAACAACGTTGGTTGTTACTAAAGTACCCTCTAACAAATTAGATAAAAGAAGCATTATTTAATTGTATACAGTGAATTGCATCCTGAAACTCACTCCCATTTATTTTGGTTCTCGACAATATTTCTCAGATTTAGCTTTTTACTCTAGAAACATTGTGTTTGGTTGCTATGATAATAGTGACAAAGACAGTAAAGCAGTTTTTTCTTATTACTGGTAATCTATTTGTACTTCTCACCAAATTCCATGTTCACAAATATGGATTTACAAACAAACATAACTCAATTCTTCTTCCTCACAAAACAAAAAAGCTATCAAAAATAATGAATGTATGAAATTATATATGTTTTTAAGTGATTTTATTCTCATACACTTATTTGTGTTTAATTTATTTATTTTATATCTGTTTTCTATTGTCTTTTTTTGTTTGGCAGCTTTTCAGGGTTTTTTCTCAGTGCTTCATCTGTATATACACGATGGATTCTGATGTTTTTTTTGTGTTAACATCTATGTCGACAGCTTAAAATAAAGTAAAAAAATTATACCTTAGTTAAAATTGATTTAGATGTTATCATGGATGGTATCATATAGTCTTACACAGGAATCAATCAATCAATCAATCAATCAATAAAGTCTTACATTGTCTTATAAGTTCAATCAAAAGCATTCAAGGTAATTGTGGGGTTAGGAAACATCATTATTTACCATGTGAGGCACGTGTAATTTCCAGAATGTTTTGCTTCAGCTAGAAACTTGCTGCCACAGTCGAATGATAGGCGCTCATTTTGTTCTCCAGTCCTTGACCACACCACCTGACTCACAGACTTTAAGCACGGCATCATAAACATTTCCCCCTCCACAGCTCTGTAGTGCTGGTGTATATTCTGCTGAAGACCTAGACAATGGTGATACAGCAGTTGGTACAACATCAAATTTGTTTCATTTCAGATCCGGGACATCCTTTGAAAGCAGTTTTTCAGCTATGATATTGTAATGCAATTGGTTTTTAAATGACATACCTGTTGTTTTCTTTTTATGGTTTTCCTCACAGCATCCTTCCAAAGAAATGGGAAAGATAAAAAATAACAAAAAAACATTTGTAGTTTGCATCCTGTGTCTCTAAATCAATAAACCGTAGTTTATTTCAGTCATGGTGCTGATTAAATCTTTTTTTCAGTTTCGTTCACTGATGTCTAACCACTTCTGGAGTTCTTGGTAGTATCACATTGTGGTAAATGTTTACTCCTTGACTCTTGGGTGGTGCGACATTTTCACAGGACATATAGATGTAGTCTCGGTTTCCTGTTTTGTTGACTGCGCATGATTTCACTGGAATCTACTCTATAGCTGCGGTTCTTGTTAGTTGTTAGTCATTGCCTATGTGAACTGCAAAACATAATCTTTTGGTAACACTATCTGTAAACCCCTTTCATGATTTTAAGCATAAAAAATATTAAATATTATGCTACAGTGAAAAAAGGAGACAAAAAAGAGTCAGAGAAATTCAGACACCAAAAAAACAGTGCATCATGCTGCTTTATGCTGTTGTAAATAGGTCTAACCTCCCCATGGTGGTTAAGAACCTAATTTTGTAGGGCACACCTTTACTTTAACTGGCCTGGTTTCTAATCCCACCATATATTCTGGCCTATATTGTATCTCCCCTCCTCTAGCTTCTTCTCTGCTGCATTTGCTTTCTAATAATGAATGTGCTGAACTTTTACTAAGCTTAAAGTCCAGGTGGAAAACATAATTTTAACCCTTTAAGATTGCATCCTCAGTTATGTTGTACTATGTATTTAACAATGTATGCCAAACAATATACAAAAAATCAATTTATTTGTATTTAGCATCAAAATCAAATAATTTTGTCTTCCTGCAAAACAAAATGTGACAACTTACCGATTTGGACTGTTTTGAATAGTCATCTGCCTATTTGTGAAACCCCCCCACCCAAACAAGGATCATCCAACTGGGGACTGCCCCTTGTTCCAACAGCCCATCATTTCGAAACCTCAATGGTCCCATGCCCCATTGCTCTGAAAGTTGTCAGTTCTCCGTTGTTAGCTCAGTGCCCTGTCCACTGAGCTGAATCAATGGGGGGTTTGCTCTTAATAGGCTATCTCTAAATGACACAATAGGTTGTTTGCCAATGACATTTATAACCATTGAAGAGTATCAGAGACAAGCAAGTGCAGCCTACTGGACCTTGGTCATCATGGTAACAATAATAAACATGTGGTTAGGTTTAGAGAAATGTATATGTATATGTCAGAGTTGAATCCATGGCCTCGGCAGTAAGGACTTAGCCTTGGTACATGGGGCACCAGCTCTAGCAGGTGAACTATCCAGGTGCCTCAAAAAAATCCACTAGTCGGAAGGTTGTCAGTTCGATCCCCGGCTCCCCTCACTGCATGTCGAAGTGTCCTTGAGCAAGATACTGAACCCCAAATTGCTCCCGATGCTGTGCATCGTTGTATGACTGTACATGAATGATTAGTTTCCTTTCTGAGGAGCAGTTGGCACATTGCATGGCAGCCACTGCCATCAGTGTATGAATGTGTGGATGAGTGTGGCATGTAGTGTACGGCGCATTGAGTGGTTGAAAGACTAGAAAGGCGCTATACAAGTACAATCCATTTACAATGCAGGGTGGATACAAGCCATATGAAGGGAGAAAGTGAACACATGGACCAGCTTTATAGCCTACAAGCCCAGGTGAGCTTGATCAGTTGACAATCCTCGCCAGGACAGCCTCCGGTCGGTTGGTGTCTCACATTTATTACGACTTATTAGTTAGTAAATATTGTCAACTTGAACATCCATAAGCAGCATCTGGAGTTGTGTGTGTGACCCCCTGACAAGTTTAAGTAAAAACTTCAATGGCATTTTGTTCCATCAAAAAATATCTTGGTCCTTTAAATGTGAACAACTTAGCTGCACAATAACTTCTGTCTCCACAGAAAGTTTACCAGAGCCTTAATGTTAGAAACTAGACTCAGTAAAGCATGTGTGTAATTGTGCTTGAAAGTACAGGTAGTAAAACGAAAACAAAGCACATAAAGAGGCAAAAAGTATGGACTCATTTTAATTTTGTCTTAATATAGAATAGTATTGATTATATGAGTATTGATTAACGCAGGTACAAAACACATTTTATTACAGTTAAAACATATATACAACAACCTATTTTGCCCTAGGGCGGGGGTAGGCAATCTGCGGGTCCCGAGCTTCATGCAGCTCTTTAGCCCCTCTCAGGCTCCAGCCCAAAAACGGTTCTTTTGATTGAAAAGGTTGCTGACCCTTGCCCAAGGCTATCACAGTAACACATTTTATGCTACAGTAAATGCAGTGACTGAGGAAATGAATGATAAAGAGCAGGATGAGTGACAGTACAGATTTTGGTGCGTATAAAAACAGAGCTTGCATGTTCAAAAATAAACTGAAGTAAAGGATTCCCACAGGCAACCTATATATTATATAAATTATATGATATATAAGACAGTAAAGTTCTGACTTCGCTCCTAGATTTTCTGAGGTAAAAGCATTAATTTTGGTGCATGCTGTGGGGCAGGTAGGTGGTAGCGTAGCTGCTTCCAGAAGGAGGAGGAGGGTGGTATGGAGCTTATGCCCTTCCAGGTGACACAGTTTCCAGCCTCGCTTAGAATTTGTAAGGCCTCTGGTAACGAACCTGATCTTGACTGTTCTGTTGTCTCAGTTTTGATGAAAACCATGCGAGTCTGGCGCTCCACAAGGGCTGCATGGATGGCACTCAGCAGGCTAAATCCTGGACCAGGATCTGGAGAAGTGGGAACCAAAACCACTGTCCGGCTCTGCTCTATGGATTCTAACACTGCCTCCGCTTCAGCTGCAACCAACCAGAGTTCAGACTGTACATTACTTCATTAAGATTTTTGGATAGATTTTCTTTAAAGTATATCTTAAAAACATACCTTTCCCAGGTAAGACATCACGATCATAAAGACACAAACTGTAACCAAATCTCTCTTCCAAAACACTCTCCAGCCATTTTCTGTCATCTTCATTTAGTCCTGCCTCTGTGTCACTCTTGTAACACATCAAGTAGGCATCATAGCTCTTTCCATCTAAGCAAACAATAACACACATATTTGTCACTGCTGCCACTGTCTGCAACCCCCCAAAAAAGCACAAATATGTGCCTCGTAAACATAAGTTGTTAGTTAAAATGAAACAAATACCTGAGGTGCTGCTATGACATCCAAGAGTGTCTCGCAGGAAAAGGGTGATGTTAATTTTGAACTTCACATAGATAACTACTGTGAAAACCATCACCACCACAGTGCAGACAATACCAAGAGCCAGGGAAATGTAAGAAGGGCGAACTGTAATAACAGAGAGAATACATTTATTAAATTGCAAAGACTCATTGATAAAAAGCTGGATCAAACATAAGTGAAACAAAAGCATGTCACATTTATTAGATGATGATTAATTCAAAAAATAATAAAGTAGAACTAGGCAAGATGATTTAACAGGTTTGAGATTTAATGTATTGCACAGACATTATAGAAATACATTCACCAATCAGGATGATGGTGACAAAGTCTGGGCTTTATGATAGTAAACTGAACACAGTACTGCTGGAAACAAACATATACAAAATCAACAATAGTAAAGACAAAGCACTATCTATCCATCCATCTTGCATACCTTTTTGGGCCAAGGTGACGGTGACAAAGCTTGGCCGTTGGTTGTCAGTTTGCAGTTTACAGGTGTAATTCTTTAATAGATCCTCTTCTAATACTTTTTTGAAGACTAGTGATGCTGTAATTCTTGTCACCTCATTATAATATTCCCTAGAAAGGCAAAAAATAGAAGACAAAAGAAAAAGTCGAAGTTATTTTATGTGCGTGTTTATGTGGCCATACAATGCACTGCTGTCTTTCAAACCGTGTTAGGGACCAGGTTGGCATCCATGGCACTGTCCTCAAGTAGTTTACCTCCTACTTACTGCAACTTGCTGAACTTGGCTGTTAGCCAGTCTTCTTTGTCTCACCTGCAGCTTGTACATGGTAAATGGACTGTACTTGTGTAGCGCCTTTCTAACCTTCCGGCCACTCAAGGCACTTTTACACTACATGCCACATTCACCCATTCACTCAGCCATTGATTTGACTTGAGCCATTTTATTTAGCTTTTTTTACTTTAAACCCTTTAAAGTATTTAATGCCTGTCTTTTATTTTTGTTAATGAGCTGTGTTTTATATGGTCAAAATAAATTGTTTAAATTTCTCAACTTCCCCTACTTATTCTTAACAGATCACATCATTAATTGCTGGTATAGTACCTCACATTTTCTGTGACACTTACATCCCTGCACTTATATTTTTATATATAGCTTGTTTATATAGCATTATGTGTATTAGTTGTAAGAGCAGGTACACCTTTGTGACGTGTTTACCGTGAAGAATTGTAGAAGACTCGTGAGTTGTTGTTTGAGTCTACAAATGACTTCCCACTTAACCAGAACACGTCAGCAACGTTTGAATACACAACAGCTTTACAATCAATCACCACTCTTGAGCCTAGAAAAAGCAGAGTTTACACAAGATTTAAAAGTAGTAATTTAGAAAGATAGTGAATGCTTGTAAGTTTGTGTATCCACAATATAATATTGAAGCTCACCCAAATCCACACTAATTACTTCACTCTTGAGTGGTGAAATGATCCTTGCAGCTTGGTCAGAATCTTCTGTGTAAAAAAAAAGACACTGAAAATATGGACTTCCATGAAGATAAATCCCAAAAAGTGTTTTTCTTACCGTTAGGTTGGACATCAAGTTTTACTATAAAGGTCATGTTATATGTTTGACCATGATACAGGTAAGATCTGGTACAGGTGTAGGCACCACGGTCCTTCTCCTCCAGACTTGGAAAATAAACAGTTGGGAATGACTTACCCTCCTACAAGATGGAAAAATAATTTATATTTTAAAAAACGACACAGTACATGCATTCTTATTTAACAATCAAATCTAATTTATACCCAAAAGTCTGCTGTTTTTAAATACCTTGTGCCATATAATGCCTTTGCTGGTAATATTCTGGATATTCGCAGCAGGGATATTTGCACGAGGGCACTGCAATTTGCAGGATTCTTGTGTGTAACATGTCCTAGTGTACATGGTCTTCTCTTCATACTCTTTGGTCTGTGTTTTGTACACGGTCAGAGTGAACCAGAACGTTTTGCTGGCATTCCTGTCATGTCATAAAAGAAAAAGATAATATGAGGATTTCACATATATTGTAATCTCTTACTTTTCGTGACGCGTCATTGTGAGGTCAGTTTTTTAATTTGTCCAACACTTCAGTTTATGACCAAATACCTGCAAGTAATGCCACTCCCATCAGCCTCAGCTCTACTTTGTGCTGTGTTTAGTGCTATTTATCAAATGTTAATATACTCACATGCTAAACCTCAGCATGTTAACATTTACATTGTTAACATGTTAGCATTCTGACG